TTGTTGTATACTTTTCTGAATTACCCTATATGTAGGTCAAATGAAAATTTAACTATATGTAAATGGCTTTGTTTTTAAAATTCTTTACTAAAACAAGATCAGTTTACAAAATGGAAAGAACTCCTTTAATTTCCTACATTTTCAACTTGCTACAAACATTAATTTTTTTCTAGAATTTACAAATTATAATTACCATAATATTAAAATTTAAGAAACTTAACAACTATACTACATTTTATACCCATTTCTATCATCTCAATTCCTCATTTAAATAAGCGCGGCTTCCGCACCTTAATAACAAAATCATAGCTCTGATTTTCTTCATCCTAATAGAAATTAAATATTTCAAAGTCATATAAATTATTGTTCAGATAATTTTTATTAAAATACAATTTTTTTGATGAACATCAGTTGAAAATGAAAATTTTTCTTTATTCTTAATCCCAAATTAAATTTTCTTTAAAAAAAAACAACAAAAAAAAAAAATCATTTCAAATTTATCTATGATTAACATGAATTTCTTCCAAATTGAGATTTACATTAAATTGGCTATGAAGTTTTTCAGATCCCAATAGATTTAAAAATACAAAAAAACAAACCATATTCAATAGAATTTTAAATAAAAGTTCAATATTTAAAAGAGAAGAAAAAACAAGAAGCAAAAATCAAATAAAAAAAATGAAAATTTCAAAATCAATATTTTCTATAATTTTTTTAGTTATACGTTTAACATATTTTTCTATATAAATTCAGGATTCAAAAAATAAAAATATCCTTAAATCATTTTCATTTCATTTTTTCTTCTTTTTCTTCTGATTATTTTTATTTGTTAAATTCTATGACATATTTCAATATTTGCTTTCTTTATTCACCAATCACCACCACAACCTCAACTGAATTTATTCTTTTCGTTCTTCTATTTTTTTTTTTTCAAAAGCTATTCTTTTATTACAAATTTCTTACAATATTTTAATTTTTTTTGCAATATTTTTTTCATTTGCTAGATTTTTTCATTTTTGGTTTTTATTATAAATTTCTATTTAACATCTATATGTATATATATATATATACAACAAGTATTAATCAATGTTCAATTTAAATACAGATAGGATATTTGCAAGGATTCGATTTATTTCCCTTGAGGCTTTGTATTAATACAAAAAAAAAAACAGAAAGAAAAAATTCATGATGAGATAAAAAAAAAACAAAAAAAAAATTTTTATTCAATTCATACACACATACCCAAACACAGATGTGAAATTTTTTTTTTTTTTGTAATTCAGAAAATTTATGAAAATTTATTTTGATTCGCACCTTTGTTAAAATTGTAAAAGATTAAAATTTTAAATAATATACATATGTATATACATATGTATTATATATGTACCTATAGTTATGTTGTACATAAAACATTTTGCCATCTTGATTAATTTTTGATATTTTTAATAATAATTTCAAAAATGACAATTGAAATTTTGTTGTATAATTTGAAATTTAAGTGATATAATTTGTTCTTGAAACAGAACGATTGATTTTAAGAGATATTAAGAGAGAGAGAGAGAGAGAGAGAGAGAGAGAGAAGGTTTGCTCTCAGAGAAATGTTTAAACTGATTTTGCTCTGTTTCCGCTACTGTTGCAAATAACGTTAATTTCAGGGAGTATGTACTTGTGAGATATAGCAAATTATGTTAAATGTACATTTTGGCTAATTACGTATTAGCACATAATCAATAAATTTAAAAAATTTTCTGAATTATGAATAAAATAAATGTCGGTTGTGCGAACAAAATTTTTCTCAATATTGAATTTAAGGTATAAGTGAAAAATTATACTTTAAATTTTATTAATTTACAGCAATCTGGTCCCAATTTCATCAACCATATTTTATTTTTATACTAATCAATTTAATCGAACAAAAAGTCCAAACGCTAATATGAACTATACTCATAAAATAAATTCATTTTCAAAAAGATAAATAGTAAAAATTGTTGGTGCAATAGGGCTCTGATCAAAATGATTAACAGTAGTGTGGTCACCATTTATTTGCTCTTACAGTTCACAATATTGCTCATAATTCTTTACTCAAATATAAAGAATTAAAACACAAGAGATGTAATATTGAAGTACGTTGACTTCTGGATCATAAAGTGTTCTTGGAATCATCTAAAAAAAGAAACTTGGAATCATCGTAGGTAGTCAGTACCAAACCAAATAGTCAATTAAAATCAAAAAGACCTATAAATTTCAAAAGCCCAATAAAACTTTTATAATTTACATTGAAGCCACTATTTAATGAAAATACAAATTTATTATTGAAATTAGTCTACAAAGTTTCAAAAGGAAAAAAATTTGAATTAAAAATAATTTTTAAAAATATAAAAACTTTCATCATTGCAATATCAACAACCGTTTTAGTAAAATATTTTTCATCTCTAGATCAACAAAATTACCGTCATAATTTTTTAATATTCAATTAGTCTATAAAAAAAAAAACTTATAGAAATTCTATTTAACTACTATATGAAAATAATTATGTATTTTGAATGGTTCGTTGATTTTATTAGAAAATTATAATAAATTTTCTTATTTAAATATTAATTTTTTATTCAAGGTTTAAAAAAAACAGCCACTTGTTGAAAATAAGATATTGGTTTCTTTTTGTTTAATATAATACGTAATATAAATTTACCCCATCAAGAAAAATCCGGTGTGGTCAACTCATAGCCGACCGTGACGTACTTTGCCTAGTTTTTTTAAACACTTCTTTCCCATTTTAACGAAGTTAGCAAGATTTTAGTTAACAGACCTCGAAAAATGTAAATTTGTCTCTTATTAGAATTTCGTTTTGTGCCGTTTTAATTCTCTAAAAAGTTCATCAATTAGATTCGGTAGCAATCAAAACTCAAATATTACATTTCAAAAAATTCCATTAATTAGTTCGGTAAATAGGGTAAAAAATGTAAAAATCGGTCAAAATTTTAGTTTCCGAACTCTGATCTTTCCAAAAAAGTAAATACCCTGAAAAAAGGTTCAGCTCCCGAGATGTGATATATCCTAAAAATTGATCAATTCGTGACATAGTCGAAATAAACTCAATTCATTAATAAAATTTCATCACTTGGTCAAACCATGGCTTGGAACTGGAGCTTTCTGGGGTTCGATATTTTTGTGCATTTAAATAGTTAACTAATTTTCATGAAATTTTATGTTTGAATTCGGAATGTTAAAATCATGAACCTATGAATAAATTTTTGAAACCATCAAGGCTCGTAAACCGAACTAAGGACCGATTTTATATTTTTTACCATATGTTTTGGAATTAAGTTTTGAAATTTATTGAATTGTAATATTTGAGTTCTGATCTTTGCTTACTCTACACACTTCTATAGAGAAGTACATTCCCACCGAAAACTCGACATCTGAAATTTGATGCCATCACATAACCTCCCTTATTGTATACAATGCCATCGGTAAAAGAAAAACTATATTGAAGAAATGCAAATAATTATTCTTTACTCGTCCTTTTTTTTTTTGATTTTTTATTTTCATTAAATAAAATTATTATTCAAGTTATATAAAGGTTAAAATAATAATATCAAAAACTTTTTTTTGAAAATAAATTTTCAAGTGTATTGAAAATGAAAAATTTTTGTTCACCGCACTTGTAAGAAATTCTATTTGAATTGGCATGTGTATGTATATACAAGTAATGTTCTCATCTTAAACACTACAATATCCACATAACATATAGCATAAGTTGGTCCTCATTCAAAAACCCTATATTTAAAATTAAATTAATAATAAATGAACTTTTGAAATTATTTTACAATGATTTCATTCAATTTGATTTCCTCAATTTTTCCTCAATTTTTCTCAATAGCTATAAAATTAAAATTTAATTGAAAAATATAGAGAAAAGTTATTATAAAATTATCACAAATGTGTGTGTGTATGTTTGTAAGTATATAGAATTGGTTTTCCTTTATTTTTTTTTATTATTTAAAATTATTCAATTTGATTTAAAAATATTTGAATATTTTAAATGTGATTATAAAATTAAAATGAATGGGTTTAAAAAATTTTTAAAGAAAATTCTTATTACTCCTCTTTCTTTCTCTCAAGTATGTGAGATTTTTGTCATTTTCTTTGGAAAAATAAATTTGACCTTTACAAAAATCAATTTTTGGTTATGGTTATTTTCATTTGTAATTCCAAGCAAAAATTTGATTTTAAAATTAAAAAAAAAGAATTCTATTTGTTTTTGGATTTTTGGTTTTTGAATTAGAATTTTTGCATTTCAAAAAATTGATTGCTTTATACAATTTAATTTAATTAAATTATTAGAATGCAAATAAAAAGATTCTTTCTTTTTAATAAATTGGATAACATAGTGTGTATACATAAAAGGTGATTTTCATTCTGGCAATAGAAAATTTCAATTAATTAAAATTTCATAAAAATAATAACCTATATTCACATAAAATTCAAATGAACTTGTGGAAAATAAAGGTTACACTTAATATTGTTGACCTATTTATAAAATTCTAAGTAAATTTTATAAAATATTTTAAATTTTTTTTTGAAATGAAAAAATTTTCTGAAAACATATTTAATTATAACAGTTAAGGGTTGCTTATAATAAGAAATTTAATTTACATAATTGAAATACTACAACTCTGGAATGCATAAAAACTAATATTAGCGTTGAAATGACACACATTTAAGATTGGGTCAGTTTAACTTTAATCACACCTCATACACCTCATATAGTTGCATTTCTTCCTGCATAATAGAAAATTTTTACTAATATTTAACAATGCGGATTAAGCATTTACAAAACATTGACTGTCCTTTTTTGAACAGATTGACCTCAGCAATCCGAATTAGAACATTTCCTTAGAAAATTTAGCATTTCAAGTCGACATTATTTAAAATTTTAAATCAACATTGATTCTTAACTTAAATCTTAATTTTCATATTTTAATTAAAGAAAACTTTATATACTTTTCTATACAATTATCTTTAATTTTTTACTGTTTATAATACACATTAAAAATAACATTCATACAAAATTAATTTCTTTGGGTGAAAAAAAAAATTATTCTCATATTTTCATTTCATATATAAATACTAAACGCTCTCTCTCTCTATTACACAAAATCTATAATTAATCGATTTTCTTTGTTTCACAAAAAAAATAATATTTCAATTAAATTATTAAAAGATTACAAAATAATTTGCCACATTATTGAATGAAATATTGAATCCAACTTTGGAATTCATGATGAACATAAAGTTTTCTTATGACCAATACAAGAAGCATATGCCATACCATGTGGAATATAGTTTTGTTCATAAGAACCGGTGAATATATGTGCAAATGGTCCGCTTGCATAAACCTAAAATAATAAAATAATAAAAGAAATAAATTTAACTATCTTGCTAGTATTTATATTTTAATTAAATATTTTAGAAAACTTACGGGAACATCATCACCACCATGTGTTTCAGAATCCAATGGTACCATAGTTGGAAATTTATAATTCTATAATTAAAAAGAAAATTCAATAAAAATTTTTTTTCCTTTTGAAAATTTAATCAAAAATTTAAAGAATTTTCTTTCTTACCTTATCATGCATATTTATTTCACGTAAATTTCGACGTTTACCCAATTTCTCTAAAATATTCTTTTCAAAACCTGGTCCATTTGCATAACTTAATGTTGCATATGGTAATTCATCATCAGCCATTTGACCATTATTTATACCAAAAATATCATTTTTTCTACTTGAATAACCCGATATTGACATTGTATGTGAATGATCTGATGTAACAACAATTAATGTATCATCAACATTTGTACGTTCTCTAGCCAATTTAATAGCTTTATCAAATTCAATTGTTTCATCAATTGCAATAATTGCTTCAGTATTATGATGTGCATGATCAATACGGCCACCTTCAACAAATAAAAAATATCCTTTTTCTTTATTATTTGAATGTTCGAGTACATTTAATGCTTTATCAACCATTTCAGCTAATGTTGGTATTGTTTCATTATCAGCATCCAAATGAAATGGCATATTACCGGTGTCAAATAATCCCATAACAAATTCGGTGTCATTTGATAACTATATTTCAAAAAAAAAAATTGTTAAAAATTACATTGTTATTTAAAAAAACAAAAATTAAAAAAATTAAAAAATTGTAAAATTTAAATAAAAAAATTATTGTAGTTATAAAAATTATTATCCTTAGGAACATTTATTTCCCATGACAATTATTGTAAATGTATACACAATCATATTAAAAATATTAAACGTTTCATAAATATGAATGTCCTTAGGAGAAATTATAAAAAATAAACGTAATATTTAGTGGAGAAAACAAATTAAGCTTTAGTTAACTTAAGGATAGTAAAATTTCGCAAGTAATTCGGTGAAAATCTTTATGAACATTCTTGACAAATGATTTCGTAATTGTCTGATGTACCAGACGGCAATGAAATCGTGACCGAAGTGTGATTTTCAAAAGCCGGAACAACTTCTGCCGGTATCTTGGAAAGCCAATTTAATGGCAATCTAAAATGACTTAATTGAATTCAGATAGCAAGCGGAAAATTAATTTCAAATTCATTACCAAACGATAATATCGATGTTCTCGAATGATAGAAAAAAAAACATACTATTTTCAACTGTTATAGAAAACATTGAACTGGAGTGCTCATATTGGATAGAGCTACAGCATATGTAAGCACGAAAAATGAAATATCCAAAAGTAATTATAGATTAAGATAGATTTATTAAAAGAACTGTGCAGCTGCTGTATAATTGGGCTTACAACAACGGCCGATTTTTTACAAAAAGATTATAGGAAGGCCAAATTGCATAATAATTTCAATTGGAAGGTGACCAATTAATCATACTTTTAGCATCATACAGACAACTTAAGAAAATACTTAAAAAAAATTTTATGTAACCAAAATTTTTGAAAAAAATCACTTGAATGAACTCGTCGAAAAAAACACAATCAGGAATGACAACATATTTCTGTTCAAAATGGTAATTGCATTTTTTTCATAATTTAATCTTCTCTCCTTTTCTGAAATTATAAATAGATGGACAAATTGATGATACTCTTCCCATAACTGTGATTACATGGGAAAGAACCTTGTGACTAACAAATCCCCATTCAGTAATTTCAAAAATAACATAATAATAAAGTTTTGCTTCATTTTTTTTCTCTCTTGCTCCCTCAATTCCATTTATACCATACATCTTTATCTCAGACTCTCGCCATTATATTGTAGTGATGACTTAATGTTTAATGGCATGAAAGATTTGATATCAATAGAATAATGGACTTTTGATCGGCAACAATATGAACATTTCATTCGAGAACAAAAAAAAAATGCATGGAAAACAAAACAACAAAAACATTTCACTTCTTCCTTTATTTGTGAACTCTTTAACAAAAAAAAAAAACAGATTCAGCAAAGAGAAAAGAATAAAAAATATATTATGTACGGCAAACGGAAAAAAAGAACATACAAAAGACAAGGATTTCCAAATGAAATGAAAGGACATAAAAGTTCAATACAAATTAATGTTAGATTCATGAATATAATTCAGATGACCTGACTGTAATTGAAGTTCTGCTTTCCTTTTTGCTTTGTTTTTTATTATAAAAAAAAATTAGAAAAAAAAGTAGATATGGATCAAAGAATTCATAGTAAAATAACTATGTGCAAGGATATGCAATCAAATTTGTTTCAATATTTGAATTAGAATAACTCAAATATTGAATCGAATGACATCAATACAATGTACAATAATGCAATAATATGACAAAAAAAAACAATACAATGTACAAGAAATTAGAGGAAAACGGAGAGGCACATAAACTTAAAACTTTATAAATCATGCAAATCGAATGTCCGTTTTATTTAACGATATGCATCACATATATACGAATAAATTTTATTTATGATCTATGCATATTCATATTTGCAAATTACAAATAATCAAAATTGACTAAATTAAAATTTGTTAACCCTATCAAATATTTGATTATTTATTCGTTCCTTTGTATGGTAACACAAGATAAAACACTAAAACACATTTGAAACTAACTCCAACTTTGACTATCGAGAATAGTAGCTGCGTTAATTTAATAAGCGATTCGGTATGAAAAACTTTTACGATTTAGTTAAACTATCATTAAATTTTTCTTTAATTTTTTAGCCTGGAGGATTATTTAACAAAATTTACATTATTCGCCGTACCAAATTGCGGCGAATTCGCCACCTGAATTCAACAATTTAAATTGAAGAGAATTCAACAATTTAATGAACACAAATATATTCATTATTAAAAGAAGTGCGTGCTCCAAAAATTTACCGTACTGTAAAGGGTTAAAAAAATTTCTTTGATTGATGAAAATGTACAAAAACGGAATTTTGAATTTATGTTATTTGAATATAATCAAAGACTGTCATGATATACAATTGGGTTAATTACATAAAATATAATAAAATAATGATTTACATTTTATACAATAATGAAATTGCCTTTATAATGTTATGCTCTAATAAACAAATATGTAAATAATTTATATAGGTATGTATGTATGTTTGTGTATAGAATTGTAAAATATTTCAAAAAATTAAATTTCTGTTCCCTCACAAAATAGTGAATAATATTTAGTATATTGAATGTAGAGAATTGTACAAATAAAAGATAAAATATAATACTTATTCATTTTTAGCTGCTAAATTCCTTAATATTCAACTAAAACATCAAAATAATATTGTATAATTTACATGTTTGTATATACACATATTTTTGATTTATTGCCTCAGAATTTAGATTATGACAGAGAATTAATTAAACTGAATATCAAAAAAAAAAACAAAAAAAAATCCAAAACAATTTTTTATTTTTTGATTTGAACACAAATAAAACGGATAATATTTTAAAATTGTCCAAATATTTTGCAATTAAATAAAATTTTATTTTTTATTCGTATTCATAAAATAAAATTAAAATATGCATAGAAAAATTTTATATATGTATGTATTTACATATGTATATGTGTACAATATGCTTTTGAAATCAGAACAATTTCCACTCAAATTAAAAGAATTTAATAAAATATTTACTTAATTTGATTATAAAATTCTTGGAATAAAAATATAAAAATGAATTTTATATGTAACAATTTTTAGGTTTTTAAAAAAAGAAATGTCAAAAACAATTCAGAATATTGGGGCGAATTTGAAAATAAAATATTTTTTGGTTTTTTTTTAAAATTGCCTCTGTAACAATTGAGTTAATTGTATTATAACCGTGTAATGTTTCATCTTTTTTTAAAAAGAATGTTACATAGTAGAGTTATTGGGAATAGTTTTTAATTGTGACGGTGTGTTTTGTGGAAAAACTGTTATACAAGAATATAAACTAACCTTTAAATTTATAAAGTTACTTTTACCCGCAAAATCTCTACTATATAAACTTGTGCATAACACTTACAGTGTTATACGCATAAAATATTATATATTTTAAGTGTTATACTCCCTTAAATAAAATTAGAATAATAAGCCTACTATTCATATGAACTCTAAAATATTCTTCCCAAATTAAAAATGGATACAAATTCGAGAAATTAACTAATCATTCAAAATGTTTATGCCAAAGAAAAATTTATTTTTGTGCAGAAATCAAGTTTCCAAATAAAATTTCCAAAATTAATTTTCATAATTTGATAGTTACCTTTTAGCTATAAGTTCTATTCTTTCATACAAACAAAGGATTTCAAGTAGAAATTTGTATAACAAAATAATGCAACAAATATAACAAAAATTTCATTCTCATTCTATCTTATTATATTATTAGTGTATTGTTTATCTTTATCGATTTTAAGTCTAAAAATAATATTTAAAAAATGTTTTTATGTCTAAAGAGAAAATTTTTAAATCATATTTAATTTTCAAAAAATGATTGAAAAGTGTTGGATGCAATCGAGTAAAAATAAATTTAATAATTTCTAAATTCATGATAATTTCTAATATTTACTTGAGAAGAAATTAGAATTATTACAAATTACAAATCTGTTATAATTTTGACAATTCATACTCATATTTTGAATACTCACTTCTCAATTACATTAACATTAACAACATGAGATTGACAGATATTCATGTGAAATTTCAAATAAAATTTGAGAACAATGAAAAAAATTCCACATAATTTTATTGAAAAGCAAATTGAACCAAAAAAAAAAATAAATTAAAATGAGTGAAATTTAAAATTTAATTGAGTTTTGATTTCTCTCTCATAAAATAAATACCAAAGAAATTCAAAGAAATATTTTATAAACTTATTAGCCTAGAGAATTAAAAACTTTCTATATAGAAAATAGAATAGAGGATAACAAAAAATTGAAAAGAAAATTGTTAAAATATTGAATTCATCCCAGTAGGAAATTTAATTTATTATAAATAAATACAATAGAGTAAAATAATATGCAATGAAATTTTTTTCAAATATCATTGAAGCTCAAGTTGCTTTCCCACTTTTACACAATTTTTGAGGAAATTATAAATTAATATTAAAAAAAGATTATATTGTAATACAAAGATTATAAAAGATTATAATTGAATATAATTCTAATACGCCTCGATTGAAAATTTAATTTAAAATTATTAATATCAATGGAAAATCAGTTGGATTCAATTTAATTAAGTGCAAAAATAAACAAAATAGGAATAGACAAATAGGAATGGAAAAAATATGTAAGGCAAAGTGAAGAAATTCATGGTGTGTAAACGAATAAGACAAATTAAATTTACATTTAAAATGTTTCAAATTTCTAACGCAGCAGAACTACTAGAAATTGAATATTCACTAAAAATATTTAATAATTTCAGAACTATTTGAAATTAAGGCTAAATTAAAATAAAAACTTTTAAGAGTCTAATACCCCATTACGGAGTTTATGACTCATTTCACATCCAAATATTTCCTGCCAAAAACAGTAACAAAAAAAGAATCAGCATTGGAATTTAATTTTCATATATTTATTCGATAAGTATACTAAAATTATAAAACAGGCGTATAACACTTTGTTTCCAAAAATTTCTGCGAAAAATTCAGAAATGTAGTAATTTAAACTATACTCGTACTGTGATAATTTTTGTCTTGAAATATTTCGAATATTATACGAATACTACAGCTATAATTCAAATTTTTATATTACGAAAACTGTTATACATAAACAAATATGTAGTATTAATAAAAAAAAATCAACTGATATAAACATAGTCATGGCAATTACTTCCAAAAATAAATTAATTTTCTAATAAATTAATTGTTAATTAAAATAATAAAAATCAAGATAACATTCTCTATATATAATATTGTATATAAATCATTACATACATACGCATTTAAAAGATTATATTCTATATATGAATTTTTAATTTAAATTAAAATATTAAATTATTTTTAATATGAAATTTTAATAATATTTAATATAAAAATTACTAAATTGTGATCTAGATATAATTATACAAAAATTTTCTGAATTTAAGCAGAAAAAAATTTTAAATCAAAAATTAAGATGAAAATTTTTTATGAAATTCATATTTGTATATTTTGTTTTCCATCATGTAGTTTTTTTTTGTCATTATATTATTAAATTTATCATAAATAAGCTTTCAAATTATAATAGAAAATTTAACATTATTCATATACATACATACAAACATAAATAATTATTTCAAGTTTTCCTATATACATATTTAATTTTTAATGTAAAATTCATTTTTAATGATGTACATATAATTGTACGAGAATATTATACAATTAAAATAGCATTATTATAGAGAAACGAAAAATTTTCTATATTAAAAATATTCCATATTCATGCATGAATGCCATTATGTATATTATTATATAGAAAACGAATATACAATTACATTATGAAATTCTTGTCAAAGATAAAGATCCTATATACATATATATACATATAACATTATCTATTATGTATAGAAATCTATATTTATTATGCATAAATAATATTTTATACATGAATTTGAATAGGAAAATAACAATGACTATATCATAGTAATTCATTCGAAATACATTAAAAAAAAATAAAAGAATTGTTTCCTATGTTGCAATCATCTTTATAAATTCAATTGTAAATGCAATTCAGCAAAAATTACAACAGGATAATGTTGTATATTACATATACAACCACACATATATACAAGATCACGTACATGAAATAATTTCTTTATTATTCTACATATATATATATATGGTTTTTGTTCTTATATAACTTCTTTTCAGCATTATACCAAATAGAGTGTATCTGATATTATTTTCATTCTTACATTGAAAAATTTTTAATATTCATATATTTTTGATACTCATATACAAGTATAATACATGTGCATTTAGATGTAAATGTATAAGAATATTTTAACATGAACATTACCTTAAATAATTCATCCTTTGTTTCAACATATTTAGCATTGAATTTTGAATGCCTTTGTTTCCATTCATCAATCAAGTTAATATTGTCTCTACGTTTACCACTGTTACCTGTTATATCTTTTTGTGTTTTAGGTAAAAATTGTTCACGTCCACCTCCCATAACAACACGTAAATTATGTCCAACTGTATCATAAATTAACTGATGTGCAATATCACGACATAATAATGGATCACCACCATCAATATAAATATCATCATCACTTTCCCAAAACCGATTTGCTATATGTGCATAAATACCAGATGGTGATGCATGTGTAACTGATGTTGTTGTAACAAGTCCTATAAGAAAATTTTAAAAGAAAATTTAAATCAAAAAAAGAAAATTATATAATTACGATAAAAAATTAATGTATTTCTATGTTTGTATTTGTTATACAAAACAATAATAGTAATTTAGTAATTTTGAAAGAAAAATACTATATAATTATTTGTTTTCAATTTGATTTTGAAATAAACATGTTTTTTTTAGTCTTGTCTTTTAGTCACAAAAACTTGATCTAAGTATAATAACAATTTTATTCTGGAAAAAAATAATTATGTACATTAAAATGAGATTCGTAAGTGATCAAAAACTAAATTATGAAGACTGAAAAGGTCAAAATTATGACACTCACTCTGCTTCTCACTGTGTACCGAGTGACAGAAAAAAATAGAGGCTTGGGATCTCGTAAAAAAACATCCATCATACATAATTCGTAAAACTAGTCAAAAAAAACTAACCATTAATTTTGTTCCAAGGCTTTTTGAAATGACTATTGTTTTTGATCTAGCATCGCATCAAACTGAATACTAACTGTTCCAGAAAATAATTTACCTAACTTGATCTAGATCTTATATAATTATGAGCATATGAACCTACGAGCTCTCGAAATAAAGTTTTAATTGTCAACTAATCAAGCCCAACTAGAACCACATATGCAAGGGAACATACATCGTTAAGTCCGCCAAGCACATATACGCAACTGATTATATTATCACAAAATTTGACCTGTGTACGTCGACAATTATGTTATAATATAGTTTGTTATAATATCATAATTAATATGATCGCTTTCTAAATATATGTCAGATTCGTATACAACTTAAATTTCAAGTGGCAAAACTATTTTTCACTTTTTTTATCTCGTTTCTTTCTAAATTTACGGAATTAAGTCACCATTCAGCCATTTTGTTCCAGCTGTTGACAATTTTAATAGAAATTTTAAAATTTTTTACATGATATGTTGAAGGGAAATTAAAAAATTTAACGAGTAAAATAGATGAAAAATTTTTGGCGCCTGAAAACAACCAAAATGGCGCGTGTAATCGCAATGCCCCGTCTCAATGGCATTCTATATAAGTTTGCCTTACTTTTTTTGCGAAAATTCTTTAAATATTTATCATATATTTTACTTAATTATGATTATTTGAACTAATAATAAATCCTAAAATTAATTTTAATACATTAATTTGGGCGTTCCTTATATAATAATCCACCCACATAATTTTTATGGCTATTTGTTCACATGGATACATGATTTGTACATACATACGTACCTACATATAAATTTATCTCATCAGTATCTCTGCAATTTAGTTTAATGAAAATAAAAATTAAAATTGAAAATAAAATTTATTTTTAATTTTTTTCTTTAATAGCTCTCTGATAGTATTTAATACCCAATTAAATTTGAAAAAACAAATATAAAAATTTTTAATTCAATTTAATTTAATTTATATTTATTTTTAATTTAAAACATATTTTCATTTTTTTAAATCCTCATAGCCTCATAGCATATTATGGTAGGTACACAGGAACAAATTTATGTCTATGGTTTTTTGCATTAAACATTATAATCGTGCTGGCACTAGCTATGTACATATTTCCCTATATCAATTATTATTTAGCCAACATTAAGAAGACTGTATGAGACCTGATTTTTACAATAATTATTTCGCGTCATAAAAATTTACTTTTATAGGTGACGTCTTTGGACGTTTATGATAAAATATTTGGAATTTTTGTTTATGAACCGAAAATATCCCCCATACAGTTTATGGTTCAATAATTCTGTGTTTAAGCGAATTATTTGGCAATATTTCTTGCAATATTAATTGAAATTTCAAATAAATAAAAATTTTCATCCATTATGTGTGCGTATAATATAATTTTGCATGGGAACGCAAGCCATATTATACACTATTTTTTTTTGAAAATAATTAAAATTCGAATAAACCGCAGAATCATTAAATTCACCAATTCACTTCTACCCTTAAACTACTGTAATTTTCCACGCTAATTAGCGCTTAATATTCAGAAACTTTGTTCTAGAGTAAATAATGTGGCAACACTGAAGCATGTAAATGTTTTTTACTTAATATAGATAATTCACAATAGATAAATTGTTCCTTCATTCCATTAATATATAATGGTGGAAGGGGCTTTGGGTATTGAACATACGCTTGTGGTTAAAATAGAGATTTCAAAATTATTTATGTTTCTGGTTTTTTTGTTTCATTGCATTTTTCTACTTTTTTAAATTTTTTCTTTCATTTTCCATTTTTACTGCTTCATTATAGTATTTTGAATAAATTTATTTTTCTTTGTTCTTCTGATTCTTTATTTTGAATTTCAATCGCAATTTTTCTTTTTTTAAACAAAAGTTTAATATTTAAAAATTTGTGCTAAAACAGAAAGATAATTTGGCGGACTAATTTCTTAAAGAATTTATTTTGGAAAAATTTCAAATACTGTTCAAAAGTCTCAAAGTTGAAATCACAAAAAAGACTGCGAGAAACCTTCTTCATAGAATGTTAAGCAGTAAGGCGTATTTTCCTCCAAAATAGCAAGAAATGTTTACACAATGGTAAGCCAACATCAAATATTGAACTTTAATTGTTATTAACTGAACTGAGCTATTCCGCTAAGCTAAAACTACGCTCAATTTAATCTAACCAACACTTTATAACCATTGTCTCGCCAATATTATTAAATATTTTAAGCGCCAAGAAGTATACACGAATAGATATTTACATAAGTAAGCACCTAAACGATAAATAGAAAATTCTACTGTTAACGTTAAAAAATCAAGCATTATTTTTAGATTAAAATCTCTTTTATTTTACATACTACTACACCTATACATTTCTTTTTTCTTGCTAATAACAATTACCAGGAGGATTTATGGAAGAATTAGCAAAGTTGAAAATTAAATTTCTGATATCCACCTAAGGGAAAGAAAGTGATGGTATGATATTTAGTTTCTTCCTCGGTTTTAATACCACATTTTTCTGCCTCTATTATTTTCTGTATTATAGAAAAGGAAAACAGACAATAAAGTATAACCACAGGAATAAGAAGAAAATTAAATAAATAATTAGTAAGAAAGAAATGAATCCAAACACAGGATCGTCAATAAAATATTTTCATGCAAAATATACAAAGAGCTATATAGAATTTTTTGTATATAAAGATAATTATACATACGTTATATATGTATGTATTTTATTTAAATTTATATACGGTTTTACACTATTACAATATAAAATAGCAGGTGCCAAATTGTTTTAGACAAGAAAATAATCAAATATTATTTGGTAGAGAATATTTTTGTCTATTAAAATAATTAAAAAATCAAAATTTGAAAAAAAAAATTATTATTATTATTTTACTAATTATTTATTTGATAAATTCTTTATTATTCTTCTATATAATTAAAAAATATCCTGGTATTATTTTTGAATTAAAAATACCTTTGAAATATACAAGTATAAGAATTTTGAAATTATTAATGCTTAAGATCCTTTCATATAATATTTACTAAATTAAAAATAATAATTTAAAATGAAAATTTAAAATAAATTTTGAAATCAAATAGTATAATTTCTGAAATTATTAGAAATTGAACTTCTTTAATACGGCATTCAAATGCTTGACCAAATTATCAAAGCTATTAGTTCTGATCTGAAGCTAAAGGACTTAAAATGTAATTAAACTGTTATACATAATAGTAAGCAAATTATTAAAATCTTATTAGAATGGTAACAGATGGAATGGAAATCTTATTGGTTTTCAGCAGCAATTTATTGTAAGTCTTATTGCACATACAGTATGTAAAACAAATTATTCAAATTATTCAAACACAGACTTTTGTATGTGCATAAATGAAATGTAGTATATACGCAATGAGAATACCTCAAAAAAAATTTAGCAACTTAATATATTATAAATTGTTTAAATATTGACCATTTATTTATAATTAATTATTCCAATTAGAAAAATTTTGTAAAATAAAATAATGAAATTTTCTAATGATTTCATGTACACATAATTATAATAATAAACTATAGAATACCTTAATAGTCAATGTAAAATTAAAACGAATTTATTTACCCTTTTTTAACATTTTAAAATTATTTTAAAATAAACACACAAATACGTATGTATATACATAAATTTTAATAATATCAAATGACTCATTAGTATTTAATTTTAAAAATGTTTTAATCCTTTAAAATGAAACTGAAATCATTTTGTATTTAAATATAATTACAAATTTATATACATAGCATTATTGTATGACAATATCTATATAACACATTTGAATAAAAAATTAATATTGAATAGTCTACCTATACATATAAAGTGTACTTGTAATAATTAAAAATGTTCGGATACGTTTATATGAGAGACACACATAAATCGTTTATGCAGTAAATTAACAAAAATTTAGCATAGATAATATTGGTAATGGCAACTTTAAGATATTGGAAGTTGGAACACAATGTATTTGATAAAGTTTGTGAGGAGAATAACAATTTTATAACTGAATGAAATATCACTGTTGTAAAATAGAAATTATATGGGTATAGGCGAATTTATTTCATTATGAAAGTTGTATCACATATGCAAGACTATAATTAATGAGATGTCCCAAAAATTTCATCCAAAATCGAGCACATTTTTGTTTTTAACAATTTTACACCATTCAACACGAATTTATTAAATTTGAGAGTACTTTTTAGTAAAAAATTTTTAGGAATTAATTAAAACGTGTATAGAATTAATTTTCCTTGATAATAAAATTGGAAATTTTAAAATCTTCAGAGTGAAACGTCGAAAGTACATATACATCTGAAAATTCCATAAAACTTCACGATTTAATATTCAGCATGAGTGTACAGATAAATGTTGTATATGTATTACAATTTATAAATATATATTTAATTCGTGTTATTTCTCAATTTTACTAATACCTTTTAACAATTTCATAATACCTTTGAAATATAAATGTATTAATTGCAGAGTTTATCATTAGATAGTAATATTGCTTTCATATATACAACAATTTGTAAACAGACCATTCATTCATTAATACTTTAATACAAATGGAAATTTAAGTGTCTACATTAACAATTTATATCCTCAATTAAATCTACTTATATTGAAAAAATCTATTTGAGAAAACAATTGTTTGAATTTTATAGCTTTATTTTTGCGAAATAGGCATAATTAGTCAGAATATTTCCAAATATCCAAGAATTGATATTTTCAAAATTTTTACTATCGCAGTTGTATAAAATGTCATTAGCTAGCACACGAGTTTGTTACTAAATCATATTTGCATAATAATTATTGGCAAAGTTGAGACATGGTTCAACATCAAAATTTCTCCTATAATACCCGTATGTAAAACTGAAATTTTTCAAAATTACCCCAAGCCATTTAAATTTCATATACAAAACAATTTTTTAATGGATAAGGAATTCAAATTATCTAGTGCTACTAACTGAAAATCTTATATGCTAAAAAAAATTTTCAATTATACCTATAATCATAAATATTAGAGACTCTGGTTTCAAACTCATATACACAATTCCACTTAAATTCTTTACTCAAACTCACTTTCCGCAATATGGATGAATTTTTCACAAATGCTCCTGTAAAAGAACAGCATTCAATACACTCGTTTAATATAAAATGTCCTTTTATACAAAATATTCATTAATGTTTTATAAAATGTCCTTTAATTTTAGCATATTCCAATAAAAATAAAAATCATTTCTGTCGCATTAAATATGAATTAATAAGAAAAATAAAACCTAGAAAAAAAAATTTTATTTTTATTTCCCAATTACATTTTTTTCTAATTTTTAATCGATGTACAGGCTAACTTTCCATAATGCTATTTAATTTATTATATCAACTAATTTCTACGATATAGATCTATATGTGTTCTATAAAATTTGTATATAAAGATATATATATATAATTTGTAACAAAAAATATAAAAAAATTATTGGAAAATTTGTGTACAAATAAATTTACATACAGAAATTGAGGAGATCATTTTGAATAAAAATGTAAAAACATATAATACAGTTCTAATAACGGTTCGTATGTAAAATATATTTGTAATAAACATACCATATATGTATGTATGTGCGTACATTTGTCGGAATAAAATTTTTATTTACGTATCATATGCATATGTACACTATTTATTTTTTTTTATTGAAAAGCCAATTAAAAATTAAATTCATTGACGCTTTCACAACCATTTAAAATATTATAGTACGTACATATATGCCTAAATGTATAAAACTATAATATATGAAATGTGTGGCGGCTGCTATTTCTATACAACTACGAGTACCAAATAGAAATCAAAGCTAACACGTTGCAAAACAATTTTTAATAATTCTCAAATAAAACAAAATAAAAACGGAAAAATTATCTTAATACCTTCATGAAAATCTCTTCGATACACAATAATTATGTACATGCACAATATACGTGCACATATTTACATATACATATATATATGCTGTATTCTTTACATCCTATCTATTTTATTTTCATAGCTATTATATTCCTCTTTTTTATCCTTTTTTTTTTTAATATTTTCCTATTTTAACTACCTTATAGCTATTTTTTATGTATATATTCCTCTATATTAAATTATAGTGCCTGGCAACAATCCACTGCATATTACAATTTGTAATTCTTTAAATGAATGGTAACTAGAGCAACGGTAAAATTGTATACATACATATTTGTAAACATGCATGAGCAAAAGTACGTAGAGCAAAGCTAGTTTTTATTTAAATTTTATATTTCCAGTTTCACAATACAAAAGAAATAAAAAAAAACGGAAGGGTGTACAGGGACAAGACTATTTCTGAAAATTCAAATTACAATGCTTAAACTACTGGGCAAATTATGGCTAAATTTTTAAATTCGTAAACACTTACATTCAATATTAACTAGTTTTTATTATTAAATTTTCATAATGTCCCCAAAATATTAAATTTCTCTCTTGAAGGACGATCTTATTCAAAGCGCTCTTTTATAAATTAAAAAAAATAATTTGTTGAAATAAAGCATTGTTTAAGACTTAATTGAGCAGCAAGTTTAAATTAATTAGTATAGCTTTGATAAAATTTTCAAATTAGAAGACCTTGGGATCTAAATTGTTCATTTATATCAAATACTTAACATTTCTCTTTACATCTATTTGTGAAATCAAATAAAGAAAATGATCAAATATACCAAATTAAAAATTGGTTTACTATAAAAATAAGGCTGCATTATAAACAAACCGAAAGTTGGACTAATTCTGCCCTATATTATAATTTAAATCTAATGTCTCGAAGTCAAATGTACATATTTTATATTAAGAAGGACCTTGTATTATTGTATTATAAGCACTATTATATGCATATGTATATACATATTTTACGCATATACATATATTAAAATTTTGTAACACGAATATTTCCATTTTAAAGTAATTAAACTTTCATCCTAAAAATTTTACATTCATATAATGCATGTATGCATATTATCCAATTAGTGTTTCAATAGTAATTCTTATATACAACAATATCTCTATATATAGTCATATTCAAATGCTATAAATATTAAATATATGTAATAATATGGAAACTATAACATGTATAGTACACTATGCCTAGCTACAAAATAATATCTTATATATATTAATATATTGTTATAAACACTAACCTGTCGCCATTCCTTTCTCTTGAGCCCATTGAGCTATTGAAGGTGCATGATATGCTGTATTATTTTGTGCTTTACAATCATTAACATCAACTGCAGCTGATACACCAACAGTGGCATAATTTCCTTTAACACCACTTAAATATGCAGTTGCTGTACAAGCTGAATCAGCTACTTGGGTATTAGCACAATATGTCTGTATAATATATGTATTTATTATTATGATTAAAAATGAAACAAAATAATATGTAATAATATAAATACAAAAAGAAATATAAATAAAATAACTATAATAATATTAAAAAAAATGGAAAAAAAAAAAAATTAAAAACGGAAATAATATCTCTATAAAATACCAGGATTTTAATATATACTATAGTATATTTATATACATAAGTATACACAAATATTTGTTCATCCTTATATGATAGCATTGTTCTTTATACAAAAAATAAATAATAAAAAAAAAATAAATAAAAAAATTATATCCAATGAACATTGGGTTAAGAGGACAAAGACATAAATTTATAAAACATATCCAGGAAAACAACCAGCAACAACCAACAAAAATAAAAATGAGAAAAATAAAAGCAGAGAAAAATACTCGATAATGGTATTAATTGATGTTATTGGTATTTTTCATACCAAAAATGTATTGATAATTCTTACCACAAATACATATTAGAATATAAATTTTTCAGAAAAATATAATAAATTATAAATTTTTTATATAATTTTAAAACACTTGTGCTTTAATTTATAAGAAATAAATTTTAAAAATTTAATGAAAATATTAATTTGTAAAATTTTTAAATTAAACTGACATAATATAAAAATATTGCATATATTGCGGAGGCATTCTATCATGACGTTTCATATTTGAGAGAATTTTGTTTTGATCTCTTTTTGTAATTTCAATTTTGTAATTTGACAAGAGTTTAAAATTTTGTTTTAATTTCTCATTAAAACGAAAATATGAGCAATGTTCAAAATTGTATTTGATCAAAATTAAAATTTCCCAAAAAAATTCCTGATATTTATTGATTATTATTAGAATTAAATTTAAAAAAAATATTGATTTAGTTTGGTTCCTACTGCATTCAAATTAAACTAATGCATATAAAATATTTATTTATAGTAAATGTAATACAAACTGCCCAAATTGCTTAGAATTCGAGAAAATTAAGCAGTTTCAATAATTTATACAAAATTTTGTTTGATCGGTAAAAAGTTGAAAAACAACTTTATTTCCTGTATATTTTAAGATATACAAAATAAATTTATAAAATTAATTTGAGTGATATCGTCAATAATAACGGCTTTTAATTATCATTTTAAAGCAATTAAATTTTTAAAATTGATATTTTAGTATAGAATATTGTAGCCCGAGGAAATATTTTAATCAATAAACTAAAATTTAAATTAAATACATTTATAAAAAAAAAATTCCATTTTATTTTTAAACATTTAATTTTATACGAGTATGTATAGTAAAATTTACCTTTGATAATCCAACGTATGGAAATTTTTCAAAATAAAATTGACTTTCTTCACCACCCATATAAATACGACCAGCTGTTATTGTTGGTAATGATAAACCATCACCCAAAAATAATATTATATTTTTAGCTTTATTTAAATTTAATTGATTTTTTTTCAATTGTTCTGCCAATGTATTTTGACCGACTTCATTCCAATAATCACCACTTTCTTCAGCTGGTGGAGGTTCAAAGCTAATCATTGGCATAGCACGTGTGTTTCTTATTCTATCATTTTGTTTTAACATTAATCTTAAACGTGGATGTGCTATATTATCATTATATTCTGAAGAAAAAAATAAAAATATAAAATATTTTATTATACAATTTGAAATAACAAAATTCAAAGTGACTTTTAAATAAAAAATGTTAAAAATTTTTTTTTTTTTTTTTTCAAATTTTGTTTCAAACAAATTGTTAATTTGTAATGAAACTCTTCAATTACTGAAATTGCAATAGTACAGAATATTCCGATTTCTATCCGGTTTCTTTCAAAAACTAGTTATTCCAGGTCTTAAGTTAAAATTTAACTTTACTTAGTTTAAATAAAGCTTTATATTTTCTGAAATGAATGAGTACGTTCTAAAATTTTTAACCCAATAGAATAAAAATATCAAAAACCAAATAAGATGCATAATTTTTTCTTCGCAATTCTTTATTTAATTTTAATAAATTCTATTTCGAACCACTGAATTATTTATTTGTTAATTTTATTTATTAATTAAGTAAATTTACACTTTCCTGAAAATTGATTCTAAGAACCTATGAACCTCAACTATACATCAAGCTTCCTAAATATTAAATCTAATGACTCAACTTGATTTTCAAACCAGAAATTTTATTTCCTTCCTAACTCACTCAACCTATTAATATTGGTCCTATTTTCTTAATTCTATTCTTTAAACGGAACTTAAGTTTTACATATTAGTTGTATTAACCAAAACATATATGTATTAGGAATAATTACTTAAATGAAACTAATTTTACTAAAAATATATAGAGCTTAAGTATTAGGTCTTAATTCAGTGATAATATTTCCAATCATTCGCATAATAGTATAATTTTAATCAAATGAGTTTAATAATGAATGAGGTGATTTTTAAATAACATAATTATAATAGACAGTATAACAATTAAAAACAGAAAAAAATTTGCTATTTTTATATTAATGTTTTAATTGTTATTATCTGTCGCCCTCATAAACTTCGGAATGAATAACAATAATTTATAATTTTTAAGAATTATTTCCGAAAATAATTCTAGATTAACAAAAAAAATTTACAATTTAATTAATGAAACTGACTGAGCAATTAAATTTATATTGGGGATTTTAATATTTTCACTAATAATAATCTACTAATACGTACGAAAAACTCTACATATGGTACATGTTTTTGGGTTATACAACAAAAGAAAGACCATTTTTCGAGTAAATTTTTTTAAGTACAATAAAAATAGAAGAACTTTTGTGTATAATAATTAGTTTATTAAATCTTCTTTGAAGAAATTACTTAATATTTTTAATAATAAGAAATATGTAGAAGCTCACTAATAAATTGCATTAAAATTTGAATTAAACCAATTCCAACTACAATATTTTCAGTCACAACTAAAATTTTAAGAAACTGGTTTGTACTTACCATCATAATGTGCATGTAATAATCCAAATAAAATAAAACATATAAATAAACTTAAAAAATAAATTTTATTTTTGATCACATTATTATTATTCGTCCTCATTTTTAGTGCTTTTATTCTAAATTTTTTCACAATTTGATTAATATATTTTTTTTATTTAATAATTTATATTTATTTAATTTTATAATGAAAAATTATTTATAACAATAATTTTGTTTAACTATTTAAAACAATAATTAAATTAATTTTTTATTACAATAAAATAATATTCGTAATTTTTGCAAAAAAAAATTAAATATTATTTTATAATTAAAAAATTTTATAAATTTTTTAAAATATTATTTTTCATGTTTCTTTTTAATAATTTTTAATTTTAATATTTTTATTAATCACACAATTATTTTCTTTATTAAATTTTTCAAAACAAATATAAAAATATGTCAACTAAGCTCATCATTACACATCGTTCTATTAACAACTGATCATTAAAATCAATTTTTTTCGAATTTTTATAGGCGATCATGTTCTCATACATATATATACACATATACATGATATACTATACATAAGACACATGCATAAGAATACAAAATTTTCAGAGAGACAACTAGTGTTCAGTAGCGGTAAGATTATGTATAAAATCAAAATTTTATATAATAAAAGAACAGTTAACACTCATGTATAACAATATGTACAATATAAAAAAGAAAAAAAAAATAGAAAAGTCTAAAGTCTAACTTTTGTTATGACTAGATGTCAATATTCAGATTATTAAACTATAAAATGTGCATATATACATTCATATACATATGTTTTAAATATATTATATAGTTAGGTACCTACAGAAAAATGTTACAACTTATACAGTACCCGATCAGGGAAGAACATAATAAAATTTCTTGGAAAAAGGAATTTAAAAGAAAAAACCTTGATAATATGAATTGCCAAAGTAATTAAAAGCATAGCTTAATAATATTGTGTGTGAGAGTTTCAATTATTCAAATTGGAATTACATAGTTTCAAGTTAAACACGAAACAGCTCTTAAATTTTATAATTAATGTTCTCCTATACAAAAAATCAAAGACAGAAATTTCGAATATTGGTAATTGTAGTTAAATATTTGTAATTTTTTAAATAAACGAAAATTGGTTTCATCATAAAATTTCTAAAACATATGTGATGTGATATGAGAAGCTAATTAACCGGGCCGTGTTATATGTATTTATTCATGTACATTCTCCCATGATATTTGCAAGTTTGCAACTTTCCAATAAAATTCTACCACAGCGTTAAATGTCAAAATATGAAAGTTTAATTTGCTCACTGATATTTTCGGTACGAGTAATAACTAATAACCAAATAATAAATCTCATATTTCTTCTGCTAGCCTATAAAATTTAGAAATTCTTTAATAATACACAAATAAATAATTTTTATTTATTTAACTATTCGGCCTACTGTGGCAAATAACACACAATAATCCAAGATCCACCACATATTCATAAGGTAGTCTGCATACAAAACTTTTAAAGACTGATAACAAGAATAAAATTTGTTGGTAATTTTTGTTTTCTTTATTATTTTATTTAAATAATCTTTCCCCCAAAAAGCATAATCAGTCAGCGTACGAGTATAAGAAAAACTATGTTTCTCTTATTTTTATTTTTCTACATTTCATGATAACAATGTTATATTATTATAAATATGTACATATGCATAAATAAACAAAATAAGTAAATAAAATTATTACAAAAAAAATTATTTTTTACAAAATTAATCGTAGAGTACTTTGCCATCAAAATTTAACACATTATTGTTAATGTGCTAACTAAATGGTAGATTTGAGAAAAATTTTAATAATAATTACATACAAATTATCAACAAATTATTAGAAATTTTGGGTAATTTAATTGCATTTGTAAATATAACAAAAATTAAATTGGAAAGTGGAATAATATTTTTGTTTAACAGGTGAAATCTAAAACGTTCAAGTCAAGGTTACTTAATTGATTACTATTAAATAATTTTGCGATTCAAATTAGGAATTTTACTATGGTGATTATGTAACATTTTTTCTTGTATAAGTAAACAGATATGGTATGATCCTCGTTTATAAATACAAACTGCGATTACATCTAAATTTAATTTAACAGACAAAATTTAATTACAAAAGATATAAATTTTATGATTTTAGTTCTATATGTCCTCGATAAGAAATACTACAGGAAGCACTTAGTAGCGAGAACTGTTGTTCAACTCCCTTAGGGATGTCTCCAGTTTCATACTTGGGACGAGGATATTGTATAGTTGGAGGCGTGGGGAGGCTACAATAAATCGCGAATGGCTGCGAAATGGTGACCCAGAGGACAGAAAGGAAATGTATGTACAATATAGGAGAAATTCAAGTACTAATAGTAAATAAATAAGCAGCGGGGTCAAGAATAGAGATAATGCAGATGCGGAAACAATTAATAAAGACGCAGATGGAAAACAAAATTGAGTCAATATAAAACTTGCACATTCGAATTGAAGCTATGCTTTAATTAAACCATAGAAAATCATTCCAAATGCTTTAATTAAACCAAAAATATCATTCTGTATACATAAAATTTGAAATTTCTAGAAGTTATTAATTGATGTTTACTAGTTTTTTTTAAATCAAAAATAAATATTGAATCAAAATCTTAAATTAAAAATCAAAATTTTAGCAATTTGATTCTAATTATGCAATTAAATTGAGCTGTGAAGTACCTTCCAGTTAAATTTGTTAACTTATAATTACCACATTTCATATACATGTACACATATATGTATGTACTAACGATAATTGAATTTTTAAATAAGTATATACAAAGTTCTTGAACATTTAAAATTAATTACGATCAAATTAAAATTTATTTGCAACTAAATTACATAAGTATATTGAATCATTATTACTCTTTCACTAGAAAAATATTTTGTAACTTTAATTCTAGATTATTTTCCACTATATTCATATAATTTAATTAGATAAGACTTCAACTAAAACCAAAATCCCAGAAATAATTAAGTGATTTTTCAAATAATAAAATGCAAATTACATAATTTTTAATCTAATTATCTAATTGTTATAACCAAAAAAACTGTACATAGACGTAATCGCTATATTACGATTACATTAATCGCATCCCCTTCAATTAAAGATTACAAAATACTGTAATATTATGCACGTATATCAAAATAAGATTAAGTAGCCTACGTTAACTAGTTAATACTCGAGCAAAAAACAAAAGCAAGGAAAACAGGCAGAACACAATTAATGAAAGATTACGACGTCTCGAAATGCCTTCCATCTTTACGAAAGTTTATAAAAAATAATAATTTACTTCAACTTCTAAATCTGTATTATCATAAAAAAACAAAATAAAAGTAGTAATATTTTTACAATTTAATGAAATTATTTTATAATCACGTGAATAGCGTACGCTACCATACAATTCATAAGCAAGCTAACAAATAAATTACATTAAACCTAGTGTTATCAGTAAATATTTCACGTGTATATACCAAAAATTTACAAGCATAAGCGCATTCTACATTTCGACTATATTATTATTTATTTCACAATATTTTATATAAATTTATGAATCAGGTTTAAGATTTTGATATTAAAAATAAAAAATTAATATTTATTTAATCTAAAAATTTAACCTGGGTTAGACTCAAATTATACATGCGTACATTATTCTAACAAAAAATATATTAATTTTCTGTGCTAAATTAATAATTTTTTTCAAAATAAAGAACATTATAATTAAGATTTTTCTTGTAGGAACGGGCTAGATCTGAAATAATCCAAAATAGGCCGATAAAAGTGAAAAACGATGTATAAAACACAATATAGAATTCTTAAATAACGTCACACTAAGACTTACTTATAAGTTTATACAATTAATTCTCTTGTTTTTAATAAAAAGAGAGTTTAAAATAATTTAATCTCAATATATATGAGTATACACACACAATCCACAAAATAGTTGAAGCCAATTTCCTTCCATACTTTTGCTTATAGATTTTTAATTTAAATGGTATCTGACTTTTGACTGTAATAATTTGGAATCCGAGATATTAGCCATGAAATACTAATTAATTTAGCATAAATCTATGCATTTAATAAGATAACTCACTTTTATAAATATTCTAGGATGGAGACCCAAATTGACGACGTAATGTTCGAAAAATGTCAGAATACATAAAGCGTTGTGGGCGGATTCGGTAAAGATTCCAATAATTCAATTACAATGATTCGCATTCGTTTCTGTATATTTTTTTTAACATACCCTTTGATTATTAGTGTATAAACAACTTTGTCGGTACTATTTATAACAACATGTCAGAATCAAAAATTGATAAGAGAAAAAACAGTATAAATAAATGGCAATATATGTATGCATATTCGTAATAAAGAGAGAGTCTTTGTATTACAACTGTAAACAAAAGATTAGAAAATAAACAAGTAACCAGAAATATGTTGTAAAGCTGTAATTCATTATTGATTACTAGGTATTAAAAAGCTTTGTAATAAGGAAGACATTTTATACTATCACTGCAAAATAATTGTTCAAATAAATTGCAATTGAATGTTACAATTTTTGTAATCAACCCGGCAAACATTTTTCAGTTTTGTGAAGATAAAAATAAAAATATGATAGATTAATGCACAGCAACAAGTTCGAATTTTTTAGTCAACAAACAATATGTCACTAGCTTATAACTGAAAAATATTGTGCAACTTTTCGCTAACAATATGTTAATAGACGAAGACTCTAAATGCTTTTCTAATGCATTAAAGTGTGAACGCCTTTCAACACTTAGTTTCATCTGAAGGTTACATTTACTACAAATCATTAAATTCTTTGATATTTCCATTCCTTTTGCCAATTTCTAGCATACATGTATCGAATTTTAACTGCTTTTAATTGCGATTGTCGTATTAATATCAAAGCTTCAAAAAATGATGCAATATTATTCTGATTTTTCAAAATTTTTATACTTACCCACGAACACATACTTTTGTACGTTAATCTATTGCAAAATTTTTTTTTATTAATATAATTTGTTTAAAAATAAAATGAATCAAAATTTAATTATCACATAAAAATTACTAATAAATTTAA